ATACAGAAACATAAGCATAAACAGAACTTACATTCATTATCACTAGGGATTTATATCTCCTTAATCTCTTAGTGTAATGTAACTTCATATTGACACCTGTGATTCAAATAAACTGAGTGGGTCAGGTTGGTAAACCTGGTGAGTACATAGGGTTTTCAACCCACAATAATATAATTATTATGTTTAAACATCAAACAATCAACCCAATTACCCATCCCCATTATCTTCTTTACTCTTAAGGATCTACCCTAAGAATCATCTATTCCTCGTTCATTCATTCCTAAGGAATCGGCACGAAGACCATCGTTGCCATGGTTTACTCAATAGGCACTAAGTCTCATAGTCGCCAAGGTTATTCTCTTTTATCGACAGTAACGATTCCGAGACTCCTCTCACAACACATGTCAAGGGGTTTAGGCACTACGTTGCATAGTCGCAAGGGTTAATATCGTCTATCGACAGTGTCGTTTCCGAGACTCCTCTCACAACACATGTCAAGGGGTTTTTTTTAGAGTACAGTTGGTGAGCACACAGTTCAAAACACCTACATGTTGCGAGTCTGCTAGTGTGCACTAGACTGTCTAGAATAGTATGTGGTTGTCATACATACTCTGCTGAATGACGGGGCCAACACATGGGTAAAAGGCTTCTCTCATGGTTTACCTCTCACCCTTATCTTACGGTCTATATCACCTCTCATTTCATCATCCAACTCATATTTCATCTACCCATGTTATACCCAACATATTTTGTAGATATAAAATACATATACAGTTTAAATCATTTAAAATTTGTATAAAATCGTTCATCCAGCATAGATAGCAAGTATACAGATAATATGCACACATAGCACGTAGTTTATATAAAATACTTCATATCTATGTGTAAGATGAAAGTAACTATGCACTCACTTGATAAGGTGGTGACTCGGTACTCGGACCGCACTTCCTTATCTCAAAACAATTTTCTCTTGACAAAACCTAGTATCAATACCACTAGGGTTTAGTCTAATATTTGCCGAGACTAATTAATAGTCTAGTCATTATTACTATTATATAAGTGTGAAGCAACACTCTTATATAACTCATAATAATAGCCCAGATAATTATTTTAATGTCATAATAATGTTACTATATTGAAACATAAGTTATACTAAAGATAAGGTAGGCGTAGCTCACTTACAGTGGGTTTTTCTCAAAACCGGGCTCCGCAGAAGTAGAGTTTCTGAGCCGAAGGCTCCTCTTTTCGGAGCCGTCAGGTGCTTCGGGGCTTCCGCCTCGTGCTAGGGAGTTACCCTAGGCTTGGGGGGGGGGGGGGGTTAGGGAGGCTTAGAGAGAGTTTCTAGAGAGAGAAAGTAGAAGTGGGAGGTGTGAGGAGAAGGTTTCACCCGACACCCTTATTTATAAGCTGGGAAATAGCCTAAATCATCGAGTAAAAGGACCTACTCGTCGAGTCCATGCCACATGTCACCCTATGGTGGCTAGCCTTGGGGAGGAAGCAACGGCCAGGATTTCACCACGTCACCCGATTTCGCATAGCAGCCTCCCGACTTAGAAAAATCATAACTCTCACATACAAGCTCCGTTTTTGACGTTCTTTATATCCACGCGTAGGTAAAAACAAGATCTACAACTCTCATTTAGACTCCATCGGCTAATTCTTAACCGATCCTAAATTTAATAGTAGGAGGAGATTAGACTGTTAAATGACCGCGAAAAATTCGTAACTCCTTCATACGGACTCCGTTTTCGTCTGTCTTTTTACCGTTGAGTTCCTATTAATGAGATTCAAATCTCATTTAGGTCGCGTAAGCCGAAAACCGCTCGAACTAAAAGTTGAGTTTCGGGTCGTGCACTGCTATGCCAAATCTTAGAAAATTCATAACTTCCTCATACGAAGTCAGATTTGGCGTTCTTTCTTTTATATGTTCTCGGTTTAACGTATTCTACAACTTTTGTTTAGATCAATAAGGCTAAAATTCGATCTATCGTAAATTCACTATTTACGCTTCCCGGTGCCGTACCGGTTTTGCCGTAAAACTTCGACGGGCCATAACTTCTTCGTTATAACTCGGATTTCGGCGTTCTTTATATGTACGGAACCCTTGATACATATTCTACAACTTGGTTAAGATTATTTATTCTAAATAATCTTTTGTCGAAAAGTCGTTTTCGACCCCTATTATCTCTAAAATGACTAGCCCGGATTTACACCTGTTATTTGGTTAGGAGGACTTTGACCGACCCGGACTTGGGACTGCCCCTTCCTCAGACCAATTAAATTATGCATTTAATTCTTCTCTCTCATCACGACCTTTCGAAGACTCTCCTTCTTCCGCCAACTGGTTACCGTCTCCAGTGGCTATTCCGGTGGCTATTCCATGAGCCTCAGATCCTTTCATGTTAATCTCACCGTCTTCGAGCCCTTCCATCATGTCTCGGTTAATCCACGTTTCTGAGATGCCTTCGTCGTCTGAATCTTCCCCAGAGTTGTCACCTTGTTCGTTCATGGCATCATCATCCTCAGAATCACTGACTTCCGACAAAGGGGCTTCTGGAAAACTTCTATCGAGGAATGGTTCCCACTTGTTTTCACACTCACTGACGCCTACTTGGAACCGATTCCCGTTGAAGGTTGTGACCACTTCTTCGTTTACAAGCTTCCACGAGTTTGTAAGGATGGTTGCCTAACATGGGGAAAGATCCACCGAGTGCCAATTATGACCTTCTACTTCAAGAACCTTCCCAAACTTACATGCGACTGCAGTGATATTCTCATCAGATCTCAGATAAAGCGGTATCCCCAATATTCTAATTCTGGCCAGCCTACCGTTAGTTTGGTCATCCACAAATCCAATTTTGAGCCATCTAATCCAACTGCACCATTTTTGAGAATCAGCCATGAAAGACTCCGCTTTTCCCTGTTGGAAAAATCTTAATATGATCTTCAGTCCCCCTGCGTAGTGCACTCTTGATGGGATACTCTCTTCAGCATTTAGGAGGGCATGTATGTTGTTAAGGAGCCTCAATTCCTTGACTTCTCCGATTAGACAGCTGCTATCACAAGAATCAATCATGGGAGCCCGCTTCAGTTGAATCTCTTGGGTTCTCACAGTATCGTGTTTCCCTAGACTCCCGGTGACAGCATCGACAAAAGTTTTCCCGGTACTAATGTTGTTGTGTTTAGCGATTGGGACCGACACCCGTCTAGGGTGGTAAGAATTTGGAGGGGGCATTTGTCTGGGGGGCGGCTTCTTCTCGTACCTTGCAATATTGACATTTGCTATACTATGCCCACATCTGACTTGGTTTAATGTTGTCACAAGAGAGTTGATATCTTTGATTCCTGCGTATCTGATGAAAGCGAAAAACGTACCTCCTTTGTCCTTCCTCCCCGGAATGTAAACGTCTACCAGTTTCCCAAAGGACTGAAAGGACTTCCTTATCATTTCCACCGTTACATCAGCCTGTAGATTTGTAACGTAAAAGGTTGTGACATCCTTCGATTTATCACCTGGATATTGCTTCCGGCGAACCTCAGTCCACCCATCTCCGACCCCGACGTGTTTAGAATACTTGCGACCGTCCATCTCCTTATACCCAGTTCATCCCACCTCCAAAGCTAATCCTATATATTCAAAAACAATATTTCAGGTATAATTTCAATTAGTTAACCAACCTCCCGCATAGAAAACATGAATATGATGCATACATTTCGAACAATTAAGAAATCTACATGACTACATACCATCCTATTTTATCTCACATACCACTAACCACTCTAGTTTTAACTATTTCCAATGAGGTTAGCAAATAGAACTTTATCACAGATTCCCGTAAATGTCCACGTGTATAGACTTTGTAATTTCATTTATAATTTTTTTTGTTTGTTCATCACTATTTGCCCTTCTACTTTTATTCAAATGACAAAAAATACCCACAGTTTTTATTTATTTATTTATTTTCCCTGTTTTTATGATAATGCTATAAGTATCCCTTTCTTTTCCAATTTCACCCTCTTGATGTGACTTTTTATTTTTTTGTTTTTTTTTTGTTTTTTTTTTCTTA